AGTTTGATAGTGCATGTGGAAAGATCGGCTTGAGGCTGAACCTAACGAAGACGATGTTCATGAAAAACGGACTGGTACCTGATGCTCCTTTCACGTTAAACGGAACGAATATCTCCGAATGCTCTAGCTATGTGTATCTAGGTCGGGAAGTCAACATGATGAACGACCTAGCTCCAGAGCTGTGCAGAAGGAAACGCGCCGCGTGGGGAGCATTTAAGAATATCGAGGGAGTAGTGGAGAAGGCAAAGAACATCCGGCCCCACGGTCACATTTTCGACACTGCTATTCTTCCTGCTTTGACGTACGCCTCAGAGACCTGGACTCTACGAAAGCAGGATGAGCATGCTGTCAGCGTTACTCAACGCGCTTTGGAAAGGACGATGCTCGGAATTTCCCTATACACGCAAGTGCAGAAGGGAATCCGGAGTTCCGAGCTCCGTCACCGAACGAAGATCAGGGATGCCGTTGATTACGCCAAGAAATCGAAGATCAGGTGGGCCGGACACGTTATGCGATATAGTGATGACCGTTGGACCAGAGCGGTTACTGACTGGATCCCTCGGGACATCAAACGAACTCCAGGAAAGCCGCCAACGAGATGGTCAGACTTCTTCACGAAAGCTCTGAACGAAAGGAATGTTGAACCTCGTGTCCCTGAAGCGAGAACGATTCACTGGACCACTCTGGCTCGTGACAGGGACGAATGGAGACGTTACTGGCGCCCGCTCGAGGAAGTCGATGATCAACGGGACGACAGTGCAGTGCAGTGCAGTTTAATGTTTATCGAAACGATGAGCCTTTTTCTTCAGGCTTTTCACCTTTTGTGGTCATTTTTGCAGATTTCATTGGTATTTTTCTATGAGATTAGGCCAAAAGACCTTGCACGAGTTACTGAGTTTGCTGAGTTGAGTGCTGAGAGTTTATTGAGTTTTTCGTGATTGCGATGGTGAGAAGGTAACGAGTTTTCTTTTAAACCTGAGGTCTTTTCAAGGAACAGAAATCTGTAAGCCTTTTTCATTCAGCTTAGCTCGGAAAAATTAATCTTAGTCACACTCGAACAAATATTTGGGTTGTTGGGCCAAAGCCGTGTAGCTATGCTTATGAACACATGGTTCGAGTATGGTCCAAGGGTCGATTCTCGGACAAGTAACAAACTCAGGCCAACCGCTTTGAATGAAGACCAGTCGGTACAGTACAATAGGTACAGTATTCGTCTGAGTGAGCAAATGTGCGGACTAAAATAACCAGTCGTTTTATGTCGTAGTATATGTAGACCAGACCATATTCAGACTTCCCGTATTCCGGAAAAGATGTTGAATGCGTGGCGCATTCTTAGATGAAAATGATCTGCTCCTTAAAAAAGTAATTTTTTTCTATGACTGCAGTGCCCTTATAGGGGCCTGCAGTGCCCTTATGATGAAATCTGAAGTTACGCCGTTAATGATTCCTGTTTAGGAATTTGCTCCTTCATTCGATTCCCATAGAGGATCCTATTGAAAGTTTGATTGCTTATGTGGTCTATACATAACTTGCACTAACCGACTAGTCGGCGCATTTATACTCCCAGGCGAGTCTGGTAACAATGAAATGGACCTGAAGGGAGGACTTGAATGCTCTGGTTGAATACCACTCTGCGACAAAATCCTTGAATGTTGCGTGTGGGGTAGTACTTCACTTTCCAGAACTCTACCTTGGTAGTTATGAAAATGTATAGAATTGAATAAAACAGTTTATTAGTTTGGCAGTTAGCTTTTAAAAGGGCTCGTGCTCTGAGAGCTATTATAAAATAATATACTCCAAATGCCACCCATATGTATCTTAAAACGATTATTTGCTTATCAAATCCCGTAATAATTAGGGTCTCAATCCGTGTTTTTCATTGGGAGGCGGAAGTTCTGCCTTGAAAAAAGTTGGGACCCATGGATTCAAGACCAGGAAGTGGGTATCCGAAAAGTTTGAAGTCGTAGTAAAATGTGCGAACAAGTAGTTCCATAAGGTAAGGGCTGCTACGAAGGCGATGTTCCAGAAAAGCTCTGGCCTTTGATGTAAATGTGGTATGGCCAGTCCGACCTGATTGCAAAACGTTCGTAATGTAGTCGATGGACGACTGAGGAACCTGAAAAAGAGGTCTTTATCGTATCATGAAGGGTGAATTCGAAAAAAAGGTAACTTTGAGAAGTTTTTCATAAAACTGTGAAACTCAAATTAGTTGATGGGTCTGCTTCAAATGGGTCAAAATGGGATCAAAAAAGGAAAAAAGATTAAAAGAAAATCTAAATCAAGGGTCTGTACAATCCTTTTGATGACGGCTCTGTACTGAGTTTCCTCTCCATATCATGGAATTACTCAGATTAATTATAAAAGATTATAACCTATAATCATTGAAGTATGAGATATTTTATAATTTGATTCAGTCATTCCATTTAATAACCCTAAGCTGGCAGACGACGATCTACGAAACATACATCATAATTCAGCATTCCTCGAAACTGCCCCAATTGTTGAAAGTTGATTAGGTGCCACAGATTCAGCACAGAATATCGTCCTCTCTCCCCTCACCAACTGCAGCTCTCCACTCAGTATGAACTTACCTTCTGCTCTGCTAGAACGCGGACGAGATCTTGTAGCAGTTTTGTATTTGGATTACTTGAATATTGGATGAATTTGTAGTTGTCATAGTATTTATCCAGATTGCAGCGCCTTAACCAAGTATAATAAGTTTTTCATTCCGAAGAAAGGTAATAACTTGTAAAGGAACAACGGAGAACAAACTTCTTGTGGAAGAGAACTTGAACTAACGAACCAGTTCTGAGGAAAGACATGCCGATCCACTCTAGTAGTATCTGGCAGAATCGTCTCATTGTTCTTAGCAGTCAAAGCATACAATCGAGCTCTGAGAACGGTAAAAATCACTGTACAGTGCACTTAAAACTTTGCAGTACTGTTAGGTATATGTAAGTGTTAAAATGACCGGCCTACCTGTAATAGGTCTGTTCCAAAAAACACGTCATGTTGCTTCCACAACCATAGCATTTATGACCAACTCTGAAAGTAAAGTACCTGAAACCCTGAAGCCATTTTGTGCACAACTGTTCTCTCTAGAATGAACAATTGTTTCGCAGTCCAAGGTGATCCGGTACTACACTCGAATACTACACTTGAAGAAGTGGGAGGGGAAGGGGGGTGG